CGTAGTTACGGTAGGTTAAGTAGTTAACGTTACGCGTCGCGATTCCTCGTCGTCGTACGTACCTACTCCGTACCGTCGGTCGTACGAGACGAGAGAGAGAGAGAGAGAGAGAGAGAGGATGATGATGAGAGGGGAAAGGCGGGAATGATTAAAAGAAAGAGAGCATTGGACTAATAGACACAGGTATTGGCTACAGTGGAAGAGAACGAATCATGAACAACAGAAAAAACAAACAATGAAGCACTGGCCAACAGTGCGCTCTCGACTACTCTACCATTCCTACACGTACATGCACCTTTATTGCAGGGGAGATGATTGACAAGCTGAAGATGACCTACAACCGCACCAGGCAGGCTGTGATCACGCGGGAGCTGGTGGAGATCATCTCTGGTGCAGCAGCCCTGGAGTAACCTGCAGTGATGCTCAGGCAATCCACTACAGGAAGGTCATCTCTGTTTCGTTAAATAATTTTAGAACCTCTCCCATCCCTTGTTTAAACAGTGTCGGTTTGTTTGTAGTCGACATCGTTGGCGTTGTTTTCTGGCTAGCACAAGGTGTAGGCAGCGAGGAAGGGCAGGGCATGGTGTAGTCGGTTTCTTTACTGCGGGTCAAAATTGTTCTCTTCGAACTGTCGATTGTAGATTATTTCATCTAGAGCATTTACAAGCAGTACCTTATTTTCCATATCTGGTGTTGACTTGTATATTAAATATGTAAGCGAATAAAATGAGAGGTTAATACTGTTACGATTACGTTTGCTGTCATTGTGTGCAACTCGACATATAGCTTGTTGCTAGTTGTCACAGCTACCGTATAGCGGATTTCGTACTACCAAAAGGTTGACTCGGGGTCGACTCATAACCGATGACATATAAGTGCAGTAACAGTCTCTCTGGGGTTTTAAAGTTTTAATAAGGAATCTATCTAGTATAGTCTAGACATTTTGAAAAAAACCATGCGTGGAAAAATACTCAAGACGGCACAACTTCCATCATAAAAACTTTATTCGTAAAAACCCTTAGTGGCCTTAACATTTGAACAAAAACCTTTTGGTAATCAAGGTACAAAAACTCAACGAATATTATAACAAACCTCTAATGATGATTGTATGTATCATCAAAATATGAATACCATCCCGTGGTTGGACAGGCACAGCAACTAGAAACAGCATGCAGCTACTGGCAGCTGCTGGGAAGAATTGCCATCTTCACTATACACATGCACACTGGACTAAACTCGTATGCGATGCGTCATGAATTCTTGGCCAAAAGTGCAGCCGAGATGCCGTCTACGATTCGAGCACTTTCATTACATCGGTTGGAAACCATGCCATCTTGCTGTCATTCTCTACCGGCGTACAACCGTTTTTTAATTGTGACGTCAACCGGAGCAGTTTGACGTTGACGACTGACCAAGATCCACTCAGAAGGGCAATACAAGGTCATACCACACGCAACCGCCTAGTGAAGGTGTTGGGTAGTACGCTGGCTCATGCTTGGCGGCGGTATACACAGTTTCTGTGCCTGTCCAACATGTTTACCTAAGGCTCATTAATCGTAGCTCTGTGCATCAACGTAATAGCAACACACTGTTTACTTGTCACGCGTCCCCTAATCACACAGATCCAACGACGCTGAAATACATATGTCATGCTGAACACAAAATGACCATACCAAACCATTTCTAAATAAAGTCGGGTGGTAATTATATAATTTCCTTGCCGTTTTAAAGTGTTATTAAATCTCAAACATATCAGAAACACACACACACACGCACACACAAGTGATGCTAACACTAAGTTATCATGAATAGTTAAGATTGCACAACAAACACTGTACATAAAATGCTGTTCGATTGAGCTAAACCCTTGAAAACGAAATTTACTGATATCAGATACCAGTAGGTCTGAAAGGAGGAAAACTTTTTGCCATGGAAAGGCCGACCGTCGATAGTTTACTTACGTGTTAAACTTCAATTATTGATGTACTTATAAATTATACCAGTATACCATTCTCAAGAGGTTAACCCAGTCCGGATTCATACCGAAATCTCACATGCTTGCTTTTATCAAACGTTTCACAGACACCAAAAATGTCTACCTCTATATGGCATAAGCATTAAGTTTATTGCATTGAATTTCACTAAGTACCTACACCATGACAATAATGTACTCCATAGGTTTACGCAGCATCGATAACTAACGCAATCTTTAGTGAATGTGAACAAACTGAAAACCAGCAATTTCCAATCCGTGTGAAATGGTATCATAAACTGAAAAACAGACAAGTGAACAGCTTTTCCTCTGCAACAACGTACATTTGGCATGCAGCCATACAAACTATACTGCGTCAACCAGTGAAAAGAATTCATTGTTTCACACACGCAAAGCAGAACAAATATAATACCTCATAAATACTACAATATAATATGATATTAAATAACATTATTTTACATATTTAACATTCCAAAGATGGAAAACCCTATGCATATTGCAAAACTGTGAAATCGCACAACATGTTGCACAATATACTGCTCACTGTTTGGGAAGAATACACGGTGAAGTGCCTACAGGGGGCGCTGTTACACACGGACAGCTTGCAGGGAATCACGCTGCTATACAGTTACATAACACGATTGAAAGCTGCAAGCCTACACCTCACGAAACTGCGCGAGTATATATATATATATATATATATATATATATATATATATATATATATATATATATATATATATATATATATATATATATATATATATATATATATATATATATATATATATATATATACATATATATATATATACACACGCACACGCTCTACCGATTAAATTAGACCAACTATATGAAGCATTATTTTGTCGGCTTCCCATAGCAATCCTACCAATAATCTCATTGGAAGAATGATATTTTAATGACTCTACTAGTAATATTGTGAACCTGTCGAACCTGCACTGTAGTCTCTCTTGCACTGCTAAACGGTTCTTTTGCGCAATGTCGCCATGTTGGTACGAATTAGACTTGCGCATTTCAACTACGTTGCAAGAGCCTTTATATCTTGCTATGTACACATGTTACTATCTTACAGTGGCACATACATTAAATAACAATAATAACGAGGGAGTCTACCCCTCTTGCTATCCAGGATCAAGAGAAACGCATTTGAAGTGACGACTCAAGCTAGCTGAGTGTAACAAAATGTAAAATCTCAGAGCGTTTAGGAACAGTAAGGTTGACACTTATATGTGCTGTCTTAGCTCAGTGAAGTGGCCAGCCCATTACTGACGCTAACTCACGCACATCTTTATTCAATACATTCGATACGTACGTTACGCCCTGACAACTCCGAACCTTCTGTCTGACTGAGTACAACATTGCTCAATGACTCCATGTAATGAGGTATGAGATTATTACAACACCTGTGGCATACACTCCATCCACTACATGGAATACACCATTAGTAGATGGAGGCATTTAGCAATCGTGGCACGGTGAGGGGGAGGACGTGGCACAAGCCATCATGACGCTAAATCACATCGCGCGTCCATTCACTTCAACGTCACTGCAAACTCGACATGTGTCACAACATGACAAGTATTATAGATGCTGTCACAACATGACAAGTATTACAAATAGGGATACGCATCTCTATGATCAGACTGCGGACATTGAGGGAGGGAGGGGATGGGAGGGGGAGGGAGAGGATGGGAAGGAAGTGGGAAGCTCACACACGATCGTATATACCAACCATCATTATTTCGGTAAAAGGCAACAGCGATATAAACTTATCATGAGAGTTAGGATATAACGCTTATCGCGGTCCATGGGTCAGCACCGAGGTTGGACCGCCTCAGCGACCCCCACCACGTCCGGTCAGCATGGACCGCCTCAGCGACCCCCACCACGTCCGGGTCAGCATGGACCGCCTCAGCGACCGCCTCCACGTCCGGGTCAGCACGGACCGCCTCAGCGACCCCCGCCACGTCCGGTCAGCATGGACCGCCTCAGCGACCGCCCGCCACGTCCGGTCGGCATGGACCGCCTCAGCGACCCCTGCCACGTCCGGTCGGCACGGACCGCCTCAGCGACCGCCGCCACGTCCGGTCGGCATGGACCGCCTCAGCGACCGCCGCCACGTCCGGTCAGCATGCACCGCCTCAGCGACCCCTGCCACGTCCGGTCAGGCCCTCCGATAAACAGCGGCATCCACGAAATACCAGTGTTACCATAGAAACGAACACGTTCCATATCGTAATACACGTACATGTACTGGCCGCCGACGCTGCCCTAATGCCCAACATATATACCCATTTACATATATATCATCATAATGTACCGATTTTTTAACAGCATCACAGTAACGCGCGAATAATGAGTCACTTAACATTTGTAAATACTAGGGTGTAAATTATGATTACACCACAACGAAATACATGGAAGCATAACATCCGTAAATAGCCTGTTACCTTTTACTGAAATAATGATTAATCGATTATGTATTTTTACCCACACGATTTTTATATAAAACGGTTTTATTTTTCCTTCAAAACTACACGATTATGAAAAGTTCACACGTTGAATCGGGGGGGGGGGGGGTTTCCACGTGATAGACTACTGCTCTTCGCCCGGCTGGTAAGAGTTGTGCCGTGTATTCCTTGTAGATCAATGCCTCTACCTGGCTCGCATCTGCCGCCACGGTTACACACGTCCTCTGCCACTCACTGCACACTTCTCATCCCACACACTGCCAGAGCATTTCACATTTGACCTTCACACGCATTACCTGACGCAAAGCAGCCCGCTTCCATATTGCATTTGCCCTGCCATAAACGATACGTACATCAGACGTACGTAGACATCCGAGCACGTTGCCAACTTAGCAAGATGGGATCGTGTGTATGTGTACGCGTATGCACGTGTATGCTTGCGACTATCACAGTGGGATATTTTTCCCCATTTCATTACGGTACCAAGTTGAGAATCGCATTTGACGTAGACTGACTGCTAAGATGTAGAAACACAGCTATCTTTACGAACCCTGTATCATAACGATTTACGGACATACAACATGTAACTAATCGTATAGTAATATAATACCAACATGATGTCATGCATCTTTGCTGCCAGCCAGGCAGAGCAGTATAGGGACTCCGCTGGATTCTGGAAGCTTCACACATCTATATACAAAGTAGTAGGCCACCAGGTTTCGTTCGTTATTCGTGGCAAGCGCCGATAGAAACAAGCGCTGCAGGAACACCCTGGAGTTACATATATACTGGATGATGCCAGGTCCAACGGGTTGGAAAGCACCAAATTCTACCATACGCTGTGCACGATCATACGGCACAGAACAACGCAGCATACCCAACACACCGCCTGTCCGGGTGGCGGCTGGTAGTAAACCGGCATTGATAGTAGCGTAAACTCACACGCGGTAAACAGTTACGACACGCACGGACCGTGACAGCGGTTTTCTACGCATTGCGGGTCGCGTGTGCGAGCAGTCAGTCTACGACACACGGACTGCACCATATCAAACAGCAAGCCTCTTCCCGCATCCATACTGACCTCGACACACACACACAACCCGCTCGAAACTCAAAAAATGCAACCGAACCGATTTCGCGCGACTGCATTGGCTATACGTTTTACGCGGAACGTTTTTAGAAACTAAACTTACAAACAAACCACATAGCGAGAGAGAGACAGCGACTAGCTGTGTGGCCGAACCGATACGTAGACGGTTGGCCGAAACTAACACCAGTACTCGACGGTGCTAATCAAAGATGACGACTGTGCAGAAAACAATCACTGTGTGGAAACAAGCTCCAAGACTGCCACCGAGAAACATACGTAAACATGTAATTTCGGAAAACTAGTCCGGAAAGGTGCGTGACATGCACATTCACTCGTTACAGCCTAGCCTTGCACTTGCTTGCCACTCACGCCTGCGGTGAAGGATGTGCGCGTGCGCGCGTAGGTATGTTGTGTGTGCGCGCGCGTTTCTAGTAAAGATCTTTCAACGATGTACCAGCAGAAAATGTTGCTTATCGGCTTTCAAACGCCATATGGTACGCCTGACTCGCCGCAGCAAGAAACTCGAGCCGCGAGCGAATTAACGCAAAAATGTGCCCGCCATCGTCTGATCAATGACGAGCTGCCTAGGCTGCAGGTCTCCCACCCACTAGGTGGAGCCACGTGTGTGAAATCGGCAAGCGCAAGCCCACGCTGTTCCTGTCGTCGTGCACGAACTACATCCGCCCGCCCACAGTGTGTGTGTGTGTGTGTGTGTGTGTGTGTGTGTGTGTGTGTGTGTGTGTGTCGTGTCGTGTCGTGTCGTGTCGTGTCGTGTGTGTTCGTGTGTCGTGTT